AATCCACAAGTTTTGCTTTTGTAGCTTGAACAACAACTATTTTTCCATGTTTATTTCTGCTATCCTTTCAGCTCAAAGCCATTGTTAATTTGAACATAGTTGCCTTAACACAGAATATGGTTAATATTCTTCTAAGTGGCCTTAAATTCCTGGTTCATAGCCTCTTACCTTAATTAAGACTATGTGAACTTCAGACAACCAATTAAGATGAGGAGAAAGTTTGCCAAAGCCTTAATTTGGCATCATGCATGTAAAAATGTGTTTTTATAAGTTCTACTTTTTATGTGCTATTTCACTCAAGTCAGTTTTGATGTGAAGACAACACCTCGGAAATGGAGATATTTTAATCCAGAACGTATCCATGACCCAGTTGCAATCACACAAGCAGTAGACACAGGAGTTTTCTCAGAACATCATCATAGTTCTCACTGCCATAAAGCCTTAGGTCTCCAAAGACTCAAGCTGTAGGTCAAGTTTTGCCCCTATCCAATGAACTGAATGACATAAAACAAGTCAGCTAATGTCTTTGTACCTCAGTACATTTTTCATAAAACTGGGGACTCTGGAAATGTGCATTGTGACACAGTGGGTTAACCGCCACTTGAGACGTCAGCATCTCATATCACAGTGCCAGTTCAAGTCCTAGCTACTCTGCTTCTCATGCAGCTTCATGCTAATGCACCTGGGAAAACAACAGAAAATGGTGCAAGCACTTTGGCACCTACCACTCCTGCAGGAGACCTGGGTAGAGTTTCTGGTTCCTGGCTTCAGCTTGGCCCAGCCCTGGCTTGTGTGCAGCTTTCTGGGGAGAGAACCAGCAGGTGGTAGATTTCTCTCTCTCTCTCTCGCTCTCTCTGTGACTCTGCTTTTCAAATATATAATTAAATAACTATTTTTAAAAAGAAACTGGTGCTTGGAACAGAGACTCCACAGTTAGTTCCATCTGGCTTGTGCCAGGCCAGAGTATGGAGTTGAAGTTCTGGCTCCAAGTACAAGGCCAAGTTCCAACCCTGCATCTTCTGTTATGAACTCTGGCAGCCAGAGGGAATGTGTGGAACGAAAGTGCTGGCCTCTACATGTGCTGCAGGAGTTAAAGTGGGTGAGAACCCTTGGAGCAGATGTTCTTCCACCTGAAGTGAATTAGTAGATTAAATACTTATTAGAATAAAAAAGTATTGATTTTTTCCAAGAGATTGAAATTCTAAAGAGTAAACCAAGGGGTATGCCATGTATCTTAGTTCCTTATGGCTGCTATAACAAAATACCGCAGACTTGGTGACTTATATACAACACAAAGTTTTTTTTCACAGTTCTGGATACTGGAAAGTCCAAGACCAAGGTGATGGCATATCTGGAGTCTGGTGAGGGCCTCTTTCTGGCTCACAGATGGCACCTTCCAAGTGTGTCCTCCCCACATGGTAGAAAGGGTAAAGGATCTCCCTCCAGGCCCCATTTATAATAGAATGAATGTTGGCCGGCACCAAGGCTCAATAGACTAATCCTCCACCTTGCGGTGCCGGCACCCCGGGTTCTAGCCCCGGTCGGGGCGCCGGATTCTGTCCCAGTCGCTCCTCTTCCAATCCAGCCCTCTGCTGTGGCCCGGGAGTACAGTGGAGGATGGCCCAAGTCCTTGAGCCCTGCACCCGCATGGGAGACCAGGAGAAGCACCTGGCTCCTGGCTTCGGATCAGTGCAGTGCGCCGGCTGCAGCGCGCCAGCCACAGCGGCCATTGGAGGGTGAACCAACGGTAAAGGAAAACCTTTCTCTCTGTCTCTCTCTCTCACTGTCCACTCTGCCTGTCAAAAAAATAAAATAAAATAAAATAATTTAAAAAAAGAGAATGAATGTCATTCATGAGGGCTCCAGCCTCATGACTCATCACCTCCAAAATATAATACCATCACCCAAGGCATTAAAATTTCAACATATGAATTTGGAAGGGAACAAACATTCAGATCATAACACCAGAAAAATAATAACACTTTTAAGAGATTAGATGATGACATTCTTAATGAAATATGTAAATCATAGTGCCAGGCTGACCACTTTGCCTGGAAGATTGGCCTTTTCTGGAACACAGTGCCTGTCTGGGGAAGTGACGTCCTTCCCTGTGAAGGTAGCAGACACCTGTTCAAGATTTCTGTGCTGTGTCAGGTTGAGATGAACTTTGCATGGAGGCTGGGAGTTATCACCTGGCAAAGATCATGAACAATGAATAGGATTTTATTCCGCAAAGAAAAGTGGTTTGGGCCAGTAGGGGAGTAAAATAGATCATGTAAAGGTTTCATTGTGTTTGCAGAAAGGCAAGAAATTCCTTACACCTGGAGAACTGGATGGGTGGTGACTATTCCCAAAGAGAGACTGAAAACTCTGTAGAAAGCACATTCTTACAGGACAAACTAAGAAATCTGGGTTTTATCTGATACCAAATAGGAATCTTTTGTTTTTGTAGTATTTATTTTGAAAATGTGTGTATGCTTTCCCTTCTATTTTCTAAATGGCTTTCTAAGGAGGGGAAAGCAAATTGAATGGAGGAAGCCTTTGTCCCAGCTTTAGTGGGTTTTATTGTATAAGAAGTGTTTAGTGTAATTACTCTGAAAAAGAGTTTGGGGTTCTTATTTAAGAATGAGATCAGGAACAGAGAAATGAAGGAAAAGTAGGACCCAAAAGGATAAACAGAAGCAAGAACTAGGTTTATGAATAAGTTGGGTGAACACGCATGGTGTAGGGGAAATGAAAGTATTTGAAGAACAGGACCTCTAGGTCCCTTTGGATCTTCTTTGCATTGCTAATGTTTGAAGCATGCCTCAGCCTTTTTCCCAAATCACCAAGTTGGCTAAACTTGTGTTTATGCAAGTAGGCTTGTCAGTGTTGGTGAAAATTGAAGAATGAACTGAATTAGAGATAGATGCCACAAAAAGTACACAGATCTAGAGGCTCAGGCGACTCAAGAATTGAACTCCTGTAGGCAAATGAAAAATCCCGGGGTGGGGGGGCGTGTTGGTCATCCACAGACCATACAAATGGGGAAGAGACAGTCTGGGAGAATTTCATCTGTGAATCATGTGCCTGTGGGTGGGGTGGGTGAACTTATCTGTGCTTGTAGTAGGGTTCTCAGTCAGGGACTGGCATGACCAAATTCACATTTAGACAAACAGCTTAGTAGTATGATGTCTGAGGCCAAAGGATAATATACATAAGGCAGCCCTGACACTGAATGAACAGAAAGTAGCATTTGAAGCAAAGACAGGTGTTAGCAGGTGCCCCCTGTGTATCTAGCTTGGTAGATCTGGGAAATGGTACTTACAGTAGCAAACATAGAGGGACAAAAAGATGGGAGGAGGGACGATGAAATAAATAGGTTTCAAAAATGCTGACTTTAACATGATTGCAATAGAGTTCATTAGGAATACCCATTAGGAGACTATGGCTAAGTAAACTTTGTTATCAATACTATTTGATTTAGTAAGGATAATACTTCAGCAGTGAACCTATTCTCTCTCATTGAGTCACACTGTCCTCTCTTTCTGTCCCTCCCTCCTGTCTTTCTCTCTTCCATTTTCCTTCCTTCCTCCTTCCTCTCCCCTTCCTACTTCCCTCTCTTTCTCCTCTCCTCCAGACAACATAGTTAGTAAAGATATAAAAGCTTTCTCCTATTTGTATTATTTTCAGAAAAGTTGCAAATAATAGAAAGTTATCTAAAATATGCCCTTAAAAAGTTGTTTTACACATGAATTTCATATGAGACTTGATGAAAATATTTGCTCCCATATGTAATAAATGAGCTCATTGTCACAATTTTGATATGGTAATGTATGCTGTCATTTAATATTTTATTATCATGGCAAAATTGATCCTGTCATAAGTATTTTATAAATATCATATTGCTCATATTCTTTCTGTCATAAGGAGAAAATTATTCTTAAAGCTAGCTCTTTAATATTATGTAATAACATTAATTTCTTTCCCTAGAATTGTCTTTTCTTTTTTCCTATTATTGTATCTGCTTTTCCCATGTAAATTAGGGCTTTCCCAGGTCCTCTCACTTTGAACTACACAAGTGTAAATAGCTGAGTGGGTGATGTCACTCTGCATTATGAAGCTTTAATTACTTCTTGGCTCTGTTATAGTCATTTTAAGGTTATGTAAATGCTCCATTAGGATCATTTAAAATTCAGTTTATTAAACCCGTCATTTCTCCATAGTTAGAGAAAACTGGAAAGCATGTGAGAACCACTGTCAAAAGGAGTTGAAACCTGCAACACAATCATTGTTTCCTCTTTAAATTATTATGAATAAAGAGTTTTATTAGCATATTTTAGTTAAATTTTTCATTGCAAAAATTTAAATTTGCCAAGCCTATAAGAGATCATTTTAAATTATCCTTTTATAAATGGGATAATTTTCAAAATTTTCTTTTCATATGATATATACTTACTGGTAAGGTAATACAATGATTATAATTACTAATGACTAAATTGTAAAAACATTAATCTTTAGTAAGAAGAGCTAAAGGCAGAATTGGTAGCAGATAATGAGAATTAAGCTTTATCAAACACAAATATGAAGCACTATCATACAATTAATGATTTTTATGATTATCAAAGTTATCTCCATAGAGTTGATTTTTAACCATCATATCTTATTTTTCCAGCAAATGAATCCCTGAAGACGCTTTCCAAATATTTCTTATACAAGTACCTGTTATAACACTTTTCTTACTTCAAATGTCTTATCAAAATGATTTAATCATTTAATTCAATCAAAATAGGATAAAGGACTATTGAGATAATTTATCATCCTATAGATTTTGATATTACTGTTATTTATTCTGAAAAAAGCCATGAAATAGTAGGCACTCAATTATGTCTTTAAAATAACTACATTTTGAATGTCAATGTGTATTACATATTTCTTCTGAAGAAATTTTATTAGATACATAATACAAATCAATTTAATATTTAGAAATATTAATATTTATTAAGACAACAGATACTCACATAACATTCAGAGATACAATAATGGAAGTGGTTATTCCATTGAAAAGAATCTTCAAGAAATATTCTCAACATTTCGCATGAATCCAGTAGCGGAACTAAGGAAAAGAGCGTATGCAGTGGTCTACTGGAGCACTCCACTTTCAAGACTACATCATTTTTGAAAGTTTCACCATTTATATACAAAAGATGTGCAGCATTGCTAGCCTCTCACCATTTGTTTCATGGTGAACAAATTCTCCAGAATGCAGTGTCAGGTCTTAGAACTGGCACCTCCTCCATAGTCTGTTCCTGAACACACCATTGCCATGCGAGCTCACCCTGCCTTCTCCCTTATATATTTCTGTGTGTCACTCAGCACCCTTCCTCTTGCCTGGAAAGCCATCAAGAACTTTCATTTGAGGAACCAGTTGCCAGGTCATTTAACAACCCAGTCAGCAGGATTCTCAAGAGTCATGAGTAGAATAAACCTGTCTGTGCCCTTTCTCTTTCAGACAGGGAATGCCGTTACCCAAAAGCTATGCTTGCAGAGGTAGTCTTGGAAGTGCTCACTGGAAGCTGCACAGCCTCCAAGCCTGCCCAGGGCCTGTCTCTGGGTACCCAGGCGTTCGGTTCTGTTTAAGCATATTCACACTTACATAGGTTTATCAGTGCAAGAGAAATCATCGAGAATATGTCATTCTCCCTTAGTAGCCTGTTACCCAGAAGGTGGATACGGACGGACGGTACTGAAATGTTTTGGTTAGCCTCCCAAGTGAAGAACATAAATCCACAGAGACTTCAAGCATCTTTTATTTCATTCCTCCCTCCGTCCCTCCCCCTAGGACATTATCATATTTGGCAAGATGGGGTTCAATTCCACTTAAAATGATGGAATGAAAGTCAGCCCATCTAATATGTGGAATCTATACACTCTTAGAAGCATAGTTAAATTTAATCAGATATTGCACCATAAAATTAATAGTCCTACATTTGGAACAAAAGCAGATTTTTGAGTTTCATTTGGCATTTTAAGAGTGAGTTAAAATAAATACATAGTGAAACACCAGGCCCATTAAACCAAAATATTTAGTGCTCATATTTTACATTTTATGGTTTTACAGTATTGCAAATTGCAAAACTGTATTTCAATTTTAGTATATTCGCATTATTATATACAAAATGATAGGTAACCAGGGAAAGAAAGCACTTGGAATACAGGAAGAAGTGATTATGTCACAAGCAAAATTTATTGCTAATGAATTAAAGAAAATACATGGAGGGGGCTGGCATTCTGGCACAAGAGTTTAGGCCACCGCTAACAACACATGCCTGCTCAAGTCCCAGCTGCTCTGCTCTGACTCAGCTCCCTGCTGCTGCTCCCCTTAAGGCAGCAAAAGATGACCCAAACACTTGGGCCTACCACCCATGTGCAAGACCTAGGTGGAGTTCTTGGCTGCAGCTTTGGCCTGACCCTGCTCTGGACATTTCGGCCATCTGGGGAGTGAACCAATGGATAGATCTCTCTCTCTTTCTCTCTCTCTCTCTGTCACCCTGCTTTCACATAAATAAATAAAATCGTTTTTTATAGCAGCTCATTTCACAATAGCTAAGATATGGTATCAACCCAGATGTTCAGCAACTGATGACTGGATAAAGACATTATGGTATAATAAATCTTTTGTTAAAAGGAAAGAAAATGCATGCAGTGTATAGTTCATACTGTGTTGAATCCTGTTGGACGTCAATCATCTCTTACAATAGGAAATTTCCTTTTGTGTATCAACTTTGAAACAAATGAGATATGCATATATTCAGATGGGGTGTACCTATTGAATCTACCTACACATGATAACCATGTTGTATCTCATAAACTTCAGATACTAGTGACAGATTCTTTATCTCATTGCTTAGCCATCTCAGTGTCTTATACCTTTTCACCTGTTACCATTCTAATGAAATTCTTTCCAATTTATTATTTTAATGACATTATTTTTCTTGAATAGATATGTAATTCTTGTGCAGTTCCAATAATGTTGTACCCAATTATGTATTTTAATTTTTTATTTGCTCAAGGTTATAAGTATAACCTAGTTCTGTACTATTACATAATTGGTCTATGTAGTAAACAACTAAATAGTGGCTGTTGCTGTGTACTGAATATACTATATTTATCTTTTTCATGGATCTTAAGTTGTTGCCAATTTTTCACTGTTGATAATTGTGGAGTAAACAATTTTTGTCACAAAGCTTTTGTTTGTTGTTTGTATTTTTAGTATCATCTCCTTAATTGTCAACTATGAAATTAATGAGGAGTAGTGCCACACTAGTAAAATTAAAATGCTAATTAGATTTTACATTTGCATTTTAAATTAACAGAAACAGTTCTTTTAAAGGTAAGACTAGTAAAACTGTTACCCTATGACTCCAAACATTGCTGGTAGTAGCTAAACTGACAACACTTTGGAAAACATAGCTAGCTTTTTGTATCTGATGACATAGCATTGCATTTCTGGGAGTCTTTTCAACTAAAATAGTGAAAAACAGGAAAGCACAAAAATGATCATTTCAGTTTTTGCTGATTTCTTTGTTAGATGTAATCTTTTACATAAAAATAATCCCTTTTAATATTAATAACAACATTTATTCATGGTAATCAATTCAAAAATACAGAAGAATGAAATACACCCTTCAAACCCACTCCCTAAGTATACCTGCTACAAACAATCTCTTCTTCAACCTTCTAGCATTTTTCTACTTAGGCCTGTGTAAATGCACATTTCTTTCACAAAGCAGGCATTCTACATATTGTTCTTCAGTTTGCTATTTTCACTTACCTCAACATCTTAGGCATCTTTCCACTTCCATACATAATATCTGACATTCTTTTGAGTGGCTAAATAGTATTCCATTGTATGGCAACACTATACCTCATATGTATCCAATATCCATGTCATGTCTGTGCTTGTTTTTCTCTATTATAGAGCATGTTACAAAAAAACCTCCTTGTAAATAAATCTTTCTACATTTCTAAGTTCAATTGTGAGAGATTTTTACCAGTAGACTGGCTAAGTACAGGGTTTATGCCCTTCAATACAGTTGATCTAGTCAATATCCCCACCAATGGTGTTTCACAATGTCTATTTCCTTACATTCTCTGTTACTGTATTCTTACTCTGAAAACTCTGAATCATTAGCCGGCGCCGTGGCTCACTAGGCTAATCCTCCGCCTGTGGCACCGGTATTCCGGGTTCTAGTCCCGGTTAGGGTGCCGGATTCTGTCCCAGTTGCCCCTCTTCCAGTCCAGCTCTCTGCTGTGGCCCGGGAGGGCAGTGGAGGATGGCCCAGGTCCTTGGGCCCTGCACCCGCATGGGAGACCAAGAGGAAGCACCTGGCTCCTGGCTTTGGATCAGCGCAGCGCGCTGGCCTTAGCAGCCATTTGGGGAGTGAACAAACGGAAGGAAGACCTTTCTTTCTGTCTCTCTCTCTCTCTCACTGACTAACGCTGCCTGTCAAAATACATAAATAAATAAATAAATTTAAAAAAAAAAATTCTGAATCATTGCCAGTCTGATAGTACCTCGCTTTTAACTACAAGCAAACCGTAAGTATGTGTGCTGTTAAAGAGAATCCAGCTGAAGACAGTTATCATTTACAAGGGGATAAGCAATAGAGTAGGAGAAAAGATGTATGTCAGGAAATTACATAGTCAACAAATGTCCTACCTAGATGAGTCACTAGAGGAGGAATGCTTCAAATTTCTTATCTGTTCCTTAAAACTTATGAACTCCATTCACATAGACACACATGAATAACTGTCAGAGAATGGCAAACCATTCATACTCATTTCACAGAGTTGGAGATTGAGAACCAGAAAGCTAAAAGGACTTCCCAGTGTGACATGACTATGTCTGGGCAGAATAGGAGCTACCACAGCCACAGGAACACTATTTCCTAGACAATATGCAAAAATAATGTGATTTATAGACAATGTAATGTAGACCATAGTACGATAAAGCTAATTTGTCATTTTATCATTGGAAATCTTTTCTAACCAGCATAGTAATCTGTGACTTAAAATGAGTGACAGACAAAACATTAGCTTCTTTTTTTTTTTTTTTTTTTTTTGACAGGCAGAGTGGACAGTGAGAGAGAGAGAGAGAGAGAGAGAGACAGAGAGAATGGTCTTCCTTTGCTGTTGGTTCACCCTCCAATGGCCGCCACGGCCGGTGCACCGCGCTGATCCGATGGCAGGAGCCAGGTGCTTCTCCTGGTCTCCCATGGGGTGCAGGGCCCAAGGACTTGGGCCATCCTCCACTGCACTCCCTGGCCACAGCAGAGAGTTGGCCTGGAAGAGGGGCAACCGGGACAGGATCCAGCGCCCCGACCAGGACTAGAACCTGGTGTGCCAGCGCCGCTAGGCGGAGTATTAGCCTAGTGAGCCGCGGCACCGGCCAACATTAACTTCTTTGCAGTTTTTAGATTTGCATGTGTTTCTTAAACATATTTTGTTCTACTCATTTGACATTAATCATAGGTATTCCATAGATCTTGAAACCAGAATATCAATTTCCAAAGCAATCCCCTACTATCCCAGATGCAAATTGTTTATTGCAAAAATGCTAAGTGAAGCAGGAGGAGAGGAGGAATAGAAAGTAAGGATTAGGATTAGCGATTTGGTGTGACTTGAACAGAGTTTGTACAATGTTATGTCCTTTGTATTCCCATGCAAAATGAGAATTTTCTGGTACCATTAAATATTCTTCAATATTTGATTTTAACACCTGCAAAGAAATTTTTTTAAAACTAATAGTGCTGCAAAAAAACACCTTGTATGTAACTTTTTTTCTGGATCTGCAATAATTCTCTTATTACCAATTCCTAGAAGTGGATTTGTTGGAAGTATAAAAACGTTTTAGAGTCCGATGGCTTTCCTGAAAGACTAATTCCAATTAAGATACTTGTTACAAGTGTATTAGTGTGTTTATTTTGCATTATCCCTCCAAATTTTTGTATCCATTATGTTGATAGAGTTTTGAAAGGTGATATTATTATAGGTCATTCCAACCCTCAATGCTCCCCTATTTTTCAAATTTTATATTTTGCTTCTGTACTTTCACACTTAAAATAGATTAAACTTGGTTGGGTATGTATGACTAAGGCATACAACATTTTGCCAGTTATTAAGCCTTGAGCTGTCCTAACCTAGCTCTACAACAGGAGATCAGTGAAGAAAGGTGTCAGGGTGATGGCAGACTTCCTAAAACAGTAAGCTATAGACTACACCTTGAAGGATTAGTAGGATCCAGGCATTCCAGGGACAGTGGCCCAACACTATAAAAACAACTGGCACGATAAATCATGTTAAACAGGATTGATTTGGTTTTAAAAATCTCCTTGGTGGTTTTCCCCGCACCTCACATACCGTGGAACTCATGCCTTGCCTTTGGTGGCTGACCTTCGACTTGATGGGCATTCTCGAAGCTTAGAGTGTCTGGCTGCTG